TAATGTGGTTTAATATAACAAAGACTGGTAAACCGAATGATCAACCTTTCCCATAATATCCAGAGGATTTGTTGTACTAAGCAACACCATTCAATGACACTACTGTTAATAATATGAGGAAACTAGAGAGACAGGGATATTTAGTTTGGTGATAGGGACAAATGAGGAGTTGTTACTGTATAAGTGCACCTAATAGCAAAAAGTATATTAGTTGAGTTTTAGCACAGTCTGATTGAAACAACGTGATATAATCTCAAAAAGAACTTGTTGAAATTTTCTACCCAAAGCTCTTTAAGGAACTAAGCTGGTACAGGATTAACAAGTACGTTTTTTGATATATTAATAACATATTAATTATTAGTTATTAATACTGGATTATTAAAATATATTAAATAAAAGGCAAGAAAAAAATGATCTGTTTTTTACAGTGGAGGGAGGTCACTGGTAGTGTACCACAGGGACCTGCGCTGTTCAGCATATTCTTAAACGATCTGGAAAAAAGAGTGATTATCGAGGCAACCAAGTTTGCTGATGAAGCTGAATTATTCATGGTAATAAAAACAAAAGCTGACCATGAAGAATTGTGGAAAGCTCTCATGATACTGTGTGACTGAATGATAAAATGGCAAGTTAAATTCCATGCTGAAAAATTGAAGTAATATGCAAGGGAGAAAACAAACCAAGCTATACATGCAAAAACCTGGAATCGAAATGAATGATTTCCACACAGTAAAGAGTGCTTGAGTTGTGGGGGTTTCTGTGAAAACATCAACTCATGGCTTAGCAACATTCAAACATGCAAATGGGATTGGTATTATCAGAACAGAAAAAAACAAAACAAAACAAAACAAAACAAAAAAACCCCAAACCAAAACAAAACCCAAAACCAACAAAAACCCCAAACAAATAAACAACCAAAAAACCAAAAAACAAAAACCAAACCAGAAAGAAATCAGAAAGCATTTATTATGCACCTGTATAAAGCCCTTGGATTTGTAACTTCAATAATGAGGACCATTATGGTCTCCTAGAATAGGATTAGGAAACATGCAGAAAAAGGCAAAACAAATTATTGAAAATATGGAATGACTTCTAATAGAGGAGACATTAAATTTGCTAGGGCTCTTGCAACAGAACTGAAGGTGTATATGATGAAGGTATATGCATTCATGAACGGCATGGTTAGGTGAACATGGAAAATTATCCATCTATTTTTTTCTTTTAAGAGAAGAACTGATGAACATTGAAGGAAATTGTCAGGTGGTGGGCTTGAAACAAACAGTCTCTTTCACACAGTGATTTCTTAAATTTCATAACTTGTGGCCCTAGAATGCTGCAGATGTCAAAAAGTGCTCAGGCAAACTCTTGGACAAATTATTCTCTGAGAGCGTGGATGATATTTTTTTTCCCTAGCAACTCCAGGGACTAAGTTTGGGACAATGTACTGCAGAAAATATCTTTGTGTGCTTCCTAATTCCTACAATATTTCACTAAGCATACACCACTAACTACTCATACTGCTGCTGGATGACACAGACTGTTATTTATTAGCTATTCTTGAAGTAAAAAGGAAACAACCAATGAGAGTGAGATATCTAAATATAGCAATGATCAAAGGAAATTATTTTGGAAAACAAAATATTATTGCAGCAATAAGATTACTAAGATTTAAAAAGGACAGAACTTTTGTGCGGAGCCGCAGAGGAACGACACACCGAGATGGGTTCAATGTGGGTGATAGAGCATCAACTAACTTTATTGGTCCATGGTACATACATTTATACAGACAACGCTAATTATTATGCCTACTAGTCACTAGCTGATTGGCTTAAGCTCTAAAGGTCGTATTCACACAGTCCACCTACTTGCAGTTAGCTAACAGCACAAGCTTCTCATAACACTGTTTCTCATGCCACTATTTCTAATTCCTCTTAACTTGTTTTCGATACACAACAGTACCATAACACAAAGTTTCTCAGACCACCGTTACCATAACACAATGTTTCTCAGACCACCGTTACCATAACACTAGGTTTCTCAGACCACTAGTCCTAATTCCTCTTAACCTGTTTTCGACACACCACAGTACACAAGGCCGAAGCGTCCTTGACATTCTTCATGTATCAGCAGCTGCGAGCAGCTGCAGGCAAACCCTAGCGAGGCCCAGCATCAGCCCGGCCCAGCATCGGCCCCTAGAACAGGCTCTGATCGTACAATTGCTTGGTGGGCTCACGTCCTTTGTCTCTGAGCCATTCTCCAACACTTTTGTACAGGTAATAATATCTACACTTAATTTTTTGAATTTTAAGGTTAGAATAAAATGGATAAAGGATATAAGCCCTCATGTTTCATAATATAACAGCTGAATGTGGAGGGTCTTGCTAGAGGTGTTTTACCAAACGGTTGCCTATTACTGGACATTTCAGCCGCCTTCTGAAACATCAGATGCAGCACTTCAGCAGAAAGTTGACAGGTCCTGACAAGGGGGTGTTTTTGGCAACAATTTTTTTCTGAGCTTCTAAAACATGAGAAAGACAAAGCAAAGACATACTCTAGAAACAGTGAAAACAGATGACAAATTCATTGTTTATACTATGACAAAATCCAAAATATGGTAGACATTTTACAAGGCATCCAAAAGCATACTAAAAATAATCTAATAGTATAAAAAGGCAAATCTACATGAAGAGGAAAGTGGAATATCACACTGAACAAACAAATGAACAAGAGGATGTATGGCATTTTATTAGTAACACACTGACTGTTGGTATCTTTTTTCCCTTCTAAAATCAAATGCTCTAAGTCAAATCCTGATTAATTATTGCATTTATTGGTGGTCCAGGGGAGCAGAGTTTTTCTCTATAAAGTTACATCCATTATTTCACCAAGATTTGCAAACTCTGTTCCAGTGTCTTTTTGCTAAAAACACTCAGCACGCGCTCCTCAGTCTCCCTTATATAGAAGAACATCTAACTCAGAGGATAAACTGAATGAGTAGTAGCTCACTTAATCAGATGGATTCTGGTAGGTGTCATGAAAGGAGAAAACATGAATATTACAAAAGAGATAAGAAACACAGGTTCAAAGACGGCATTACTATAGAGGTAATCAAGACAGGCAGTGAGACAGATGGAAAGTGAGCTGGAAAGACAGATTTTCTACCAATTGCTAAGTAGAAGGATCAGTACTTCTACCAATACAAAAGTGAACAAGATGTATTTAGAAGTGTGGGGGGAAAGACAAAAAATCCCCAATACAGTGTGGCAACAAACAGGAGTTAAGGCAGTGGCAAATGAGAGAAACCAACTATAATCCCAACTTTCAATGGTGCAAAGCCTACTAAATGTGTCAGAACGTACAAAAATGATACATATATGGAGTAAATATATAAAAATGCACTGGATTTATAGGCATGGTTATAAGCAGTTCTAAACCTCTGAAGTCCTCAATGTTACTTCCAATCATAGTACTTCTTTAACACATGCAATCAGTAAAGAATGCTACAATCTGATACTTTTTTAAAAAACATGTTAAAAGCAAAAAAGAATAGCATTTGGCATGATGAACTTTATATACAATCTAAGCAAATTAAATGTTTAAGAGGGATTTTTTAAGAATGAGAATAATAAATCATTTAGTCTAGTGGTCAGTGATGGGTACTGAAGACAGTTGCTGAAAGCGAAAGTAGTTGCAGTCATCCAAACTGTAGTGTTGTTTAGGAGAAGCAATATAGTTATTTTCCACCTAGTAAATTGATTGCTGCAGAGAACCAGTGTGACTTTTCCAGAACAGACCAACAAAAAGTCACAGAGTAGAATGAGAAGTTGCATATACTCCTTAGTTACTGGGTTACTCATGGGGTCAGTTAGAGGAAAGACAAGGGTAGTAAAGCATAGTAAATTTTTTCTAGTTATGGAGATATGCATAGGTTTTTGGCTCTTACATTCTTTATCAGGCTTCATTGCAACGGTTTCAGTGACAGACTCCAAGTGACTAACCTGAAAAGACTGAAGTGCAATCAAGTAATGGGTTATCTCCTCAAAACTTTTCTTAAACCAGTACTGCCACATCAAAATATAGAAAGTACAGAAGATGTCTTGAATACATTTTAATATCCTTCTGGGCTTGGGATCTTTCAGGAACATTTGGATCACATTTTCAAATTTTCCTTCATAGATACAGAATCTCTAGTTTAACATTTAGTTCGAATGCAATCCAGGATTGTCCCATGAACAGCTCTTTCTCAAAGCTCTACCTTGTAACATTGTAAGATTCGTGATGAAACATGGAGACCTGTCAGAAAATAATGGGGGAAAATATCATATTTCCTAACAGCCATGTAGAGCAAATAATGCTCTCAATATGGTAGTTTACAGAGAATCATGGCTACGCCAATTCCTGTGAAGAAACAACCTAACTCACTGCAATAGCTAATTTGTACATTCATCTTAATTATTTTTAAAAATAGTATTAGTGGTCAGCTACACTGTCAACAGGTTCTTTATAAACGACTGTGTAACTGAAGGCACCGAACGATGAGGCAAGGGCTCCCTGTCAGGGCTGGGCCCTCTGAGGGGATAGAGTGCGTGGCGGCGCCCGGGCCCGGCGCGGCCTCTCCGAACGTACTCCATGACCAGCAGGGACAGGCTCCCGGCGCCGGGAAGCCCCACCGCGCAACAAGTGCGGCGGGGTGGCGCAGGCGGCCGGTGGACTGAGGAGCCCCCGGAGCGGGCCCGCCCCCAGCGGCCTCAGGCCCTCTCCCCGGGCAGGACCGTGAGCCGACTTCTCCCCCTCGCACGCATACACACACCCTCGGGAAGCGGCGTGGAACCCCCCCCGCTTCCACCACACGGCGAGTCTCGCCGGGTGTGAGGAACTCACAGCCGCGCCCCCGCGCCCTGCTCGCTCCCCGCCACGGGCGGGGCACGCCCGCGCCGCCTCACGGGCCGCCTCAGCCCCGGCACCTGAGGGCAGAAGCTTCAGCGGCGCCGACGGCGCATGCCCAGGCGGCTGGCGCATGCTCTGTAGCAGGGAGAGGAGAGGAGCGGAATCCGGCACTCGGCAACATTCGGCGGTTTTCGTGCAGGCCAGGCCGCCATTTTCTCACAGTCTTCTCATACGCGTTGTCTGCGCGGCTGTCTGTCCCGCTTGTCCGCGCTTTGTCCTGCACGGCGATGGACGGGTGAGTAATGACCAGGGCCGTGGGAGCGAAGACACTGCCGCGGTTCTGCTGCCGGTCGGTGGCGGGACCTGTCCCGCTGTCGGGGACTCGCTCCGCGCCGCGGCTGGCTGTCGACGGGCGGGCATCTCCGGGGGTGTGGGGAGCGGCCGCTGCCCCGGCGGCGCTGGGGACAGGCGGGCTTCCCGCCGCGGGACAGCTGAAGCCTGAGGCCCATTGCGGGGTGGGGGGGCAGAGGGGGCTCAGCCTCTCCCTAACGCGGGCCCCTCGGTGCGGTCTGCTGTTTAAACTGCCGAGGGCTGTGGGCCGCCCGCTGCTTGGTGTTGTGCCCGAGACGCCGGAGCTCGCTGTGAAGAGGGGCTGTGATCCGTCCCCTCCACAGCCTCTTGTCCTCGCCTTCTCCTCCGCCTTTGCCTTTTCTACCCCCCGCCTCCCACCCGTGGGGTGAGGAGGGGGCGCTCTGCCGGGCTCGGGTTTGTTTTGGAGCTGGCTGGAGGGGAGGAGCAATACCAGCTGGAGCCAGATGTCGAGCTCTTTTGTTTTCAGAAACTGCCTAATAAGCTCTCTGGCTTCCCCCTCTCCCCAGGTAGAAAGATGCCTTTGTGTATGCTGGAGACTGGCTGTAAAAGCCAAAGAAGGGCAGGTTTTAAAGGAGTCAACCATACGGGACGGCGAGGGCCCTCGGTCCTGGCCGGGAGCTGGGGTGGGCAGTCACTATACACAAGGCCTTCTTTCTGTTGGACCTGGAAAATGAGGCTGGTGGTTGTAGCCTCTGTCAGTTTAAATACAACATCTTCCAACTTCCAAATTTCCTATTAAGTTGCTTACTCTGCTTCAAACAGAGAAGCAGTCTCTTTGGTATGCTTTAAGCATATAACCTCTCCACTGTAAGAGTTTTAAAGGCTTTTTATGGTTAGTTTTGTTTATAACGTTGAGAGTTACAAACCCTGTCTGAGAAGTCTTGTCAATAATGAGTATTACGTTGTGGAATGCTTTCACATATTCATGTTTTGCCTTTTTTTTTTTTTTTTTTTTTTTTTGGTGTGGATTTACGTTTCTTTTAGGATTGTGTTGCACACTGAATCATGATGCCACAACCTCTAAGAAAAAGATGTGCCTTAACATACCTGTAGCAGAGTTTTGTATAGTTGTACCTGATTAAATGTTGTTAAATTTCATATAGGTGTACCTGCCAATGTGTTCTTTCAAGCTAATATCAAAAAGTGTGTTCATTGCTTTTTGCCCTAAGAAGATCTGTAGGGTAGGCTATATTGCTTAACTAGCTATCTAGTTTAATAGGGGTGTGGGAGAAAAGTTCAGTACTTGCTTTTAAATTTTTTTATTTTCACACTATGATCTCATGTCCAGAAGCCCAAGTTTCCTAAATAAATTTCCTGGCAGTGGTGCTTTGGAGTAATGTTTACTTGAAACTTTGGACTCTTTTGGAGAAGCCTATAAACTGGGGAAGCTCAGTGACTTTCTTAGGTTTCTTTTGTACTTCTCAGTCCTGCTGTGTTCTTTGAACATATTTTCCTGTTTGGGGATGTTGTTGGCTATTTTGATTCCTTATTATTTTGACATTGCAATACGTTGAAAAGTTGGTTTTATGAGGATAAATCGGTTGACTTGTGTTCTTGTTTTTTCTTTTTTTTACAGCATTGTCACTGATGTTGCAGTTGGTGTGAAGGTAGGATGTACACATAGCAAATAAGGGGGCAAATTGTTGATATAAAATTAACTACTTTGAGCAGTAATTGCAAGTTTTAAGATTTTAACTAGTCATTGTCAGCTGATATTTAGTCAGTAGTATATGCTTTATTAAGCAAAAATCCCTAGAGGGAAATTGGAGGCTCTACACAAAAGACTTTTTTAGGCACTGAACCATAAACAGTAGTTCTAGATTAATGTAGTTGTGTCAGCTTATTATTTTAAAACTTAATTTTGTAGATTTTTTTTCAAAACAACACTTTCTCATTGTTGCTTGATGACTGTAAAAGACATGTTTTCTTCTTCTGCCCTCCATCCCTCCTTTTTTTCAAAACAGTGCCACTGAAGTTAAAAAATAAGTGACTGTCTGTAATGGGACACAAAAGTATTGGAGGTAGAATTTGTTATGTAGACAGAAGTGGATGTTTGCTTTGCTTTTTATTTTTCAAGTTCAGTTATGAATTTATCAAATTTGTTATAACAAGGAAAGAACTTCCACATGGTTGTTAATTTACTATTTTTTTTCATTTTTGTATTCAAATCTGGTTCAGGAATTACATCAGTACTTTGTAGAAGCAGGCTGAGTAATAATGAGAATACTAAGCTATATGGGACAGAGGAACTTTGTTATGTTAATGCATGCAAGCAATTCTATTTCAGTGATAGAAGTGTAGAAGCTTTGTGGTGCATACAGTTAAGTCTCCACATTTGTCCAGGGACTTTGTAGATATACCATGTAATTTCCTTTTCACCTGAAGCTGATCTATGTTAACTGAATAGTAAGACAGGTTTTGTGTAGTAAAGCTCTTTGGCTCCGATTCAGTATTGGTCCAGCTGGATTGGGACTAGTTCTTATGTAATACAGCTAGTCTGTAGATACAGCAGCTATTTTGTCAGATGTACCTCTATTACGTTTCTGAGCAAACTTGATTCTAGGAGGAGCTGTAAGAAGTCAGTTTATAGATTCTGGAGCCATCTGGCTCCATGTGTTCATGCATTATTGGAGGCAAGCTTAAAATCACTCTCTGAATCAAGAGGAAAGCGTAGTTATTAAAGTATTTCTGAGGAAGCTAATCCCCATCAGAATTACTAACTGGCACGATTGTTTCTCTGTTGCCTGGGAGGACAAAGTGTTAACTGATTAAAACTTTAGAAATGTATTTAATAATTTTGAGGAATACCTAAGGAAGTTAAAGTCTTTCAGAAGTAACTGTCCCATGTGAATAGCTTTGGGGCAAAACAATTTATAAATAGCCCTCAATTGTGTCTAATGAAGAAGCAATTTCAGGTAGACCATGTAGTGCTGGAACCTTAAATCCTGACATTCTCGCTTCAGGAGAAGTAAATGGATTCAGTATCCCTTTTATTCTTAACTATGAGTGACTTAGAATCTTATGATAATTTGAGAGTTCAAGAAACATGTTTTAAGGTTGTAATGTGATTTTGGAACCATATTTTCAGGTACTAGCCAGACAATGAAATATAGACACTTTAGATGACATAACTGCTTCTTTCTGTTGATTGTAGAAGTTATATTATGAATATAAGAAAGAAGGCAAGACAGATGTATCAGAGGTAGTGATTAAAATAAACACAAAGCTACTGAAATTTCAAAAAGGTGTGCTCTTTGCCATGTAAAAATGGACTTCTTATCTGGATTTTAAAAGGAAGCAATCCATTTGTGCATGGAAGTAGTAGAAAGAAATAAAAAGGATGATGATTTTTGAAGAAAGCTGTTCAATATGGGAGGAGTAACCTGGATTGTATTCTGGAGCTTCTGTAATTATCTCAGGATACTAATAAGAATGGAAACTGAAATTTCTTGCTAATTGTGCAGTTTGGGGAGCAGTCTAATGCTAGCTTCAGTCATGTTTTGTGGAAGGCTATGTGAAACATTTGTGTATTATGCTCTCTGATGGCTTTTCATTGCTTTTGATGAACTGATGTTTTAAAGTTGAGGAGCGCTTTCCCTATATATGGTATATAAATAACTGGGAACATTCATCTGGCCTTTCCTTGGCTGTTATCTTTGGGGTGATTTGCGAATGAGTAGGGAGCAAGTTTTGAGTCCAGGGAGTTGCATCAGCAGTTTTAATGCTCTTTTGACACTGCTTTTTATTGTGATAGGATAGCCAATGGAAGTGGGCAGCGATTTACCTGTGTGCAATCAGTTTATCCAGGATATTTGTTTGACCTGATGCTTTCTTGAGATTTTGCACCTACTGTATATATGCTGATCTGTTATACAGCATGTTTGTGATATATTAAATTATACCTGGAGAAAGGGATTGTGACATTTGACCGTTCTGTTTGGAAAACTTGCCTTATTTTATCATCAGTCATGTCAATACAAATTTGAAAATTATATTAACTGTTGTCTGGCTGGTTTCTCTCTTAAACAGAAAAGTGAACTTATTAGTTATGTTTTTAAATCCATTCGTAAAATAGTAGGAATTAACTACTGTAGTCTGGGAATTGTCTTTGAATTAAAAAAGGGCTTTTGTGCTTTGGGGACTGCATGCGGGCAAGGCAAGTACAAAGTAAGAGGAATACTTGCTTATGACATTTTATTGATAGTTTTATATTCTGAGTTATCTGCTAATGAGGCTGCTAAATTTGAAGGTGTTACCATTCACTTGTGCTGTACGCTTTGATTTGATTGAAAACATTTTTCTTCATCAAACTTTCAAATGTTCAATTTTGATTTTGTGTTGAGTTTCCAGAAATTAACACCAAAAGCTGAGGAAAACATAAAACTCAAAATGGAGGTGGAAAAAATGACAAATACTATTTGAAAACTTGGTTTACATAGAGTATATGTGGGGATTTGCACAACTCAAAGTATAAAGTGGGAGCACGCTTCCCAGATAAAATCTGCCAGAGCAGTGGTGTGCTTTAACTTCTGAAAGCGTTAGAACATGTCAAAACCCAGTCACCTTGTAAGTACCTATGAAATAATTCTTATTTGATTTGGTATGCAATGCCTCATTTTGCTTACTTAGAATTCCTGGAGGCAGGGAAATATCACTGCACGAAGTTCAGCCCTTATGTTACAATTTACAAAATAATACAAAAAGAATGAGCTTTAGCACTGTCTCTGATGTTACTTTGTGAACTCCCGTTGTATATAAGCAGTTTGTGTAAAGTATTTTTGACTAGAACAGAGATGAGAATTCCAGTAATAGTAGTATATTACATAATTCACTGATTTTTTTGTTTAAATTTTCAGTTTCTTGAAGAAATTCTCTACATTCTAAACATGAGGTTTCTTCATACACAGTTTTAAAAAATGTCATATTATATAAAATGTTTGGTTTTTTGTTTTAAAAAGGTAAACAGTTGCTCTGGTTATTACATGAGTTCCGTAGTCACTAAAAATGAAAAGGCCTGCTAGTTAGCTTCTAGTCTCAAACTTACTGCTCACTGGCTGTGTGGGTTTGAGTATTGAAATCTAGTAACTGTAGTTTGAATTGCTGTCTTATGTTCTCTGTACAGTTATGCTTTAATCTGGTAAGTAAACTTACTCGAGACTTGGAGCGATAGGGCCTTTTTCAACTGTTGAATGTATGAAGTATATAATGTATCTTTCTCCGGAGTAATCAAAAAACTCTTCACAGGGGTATAAAAAGTGATGTAAAGAATATACATCACTGAAGTGCAGGGAATAATTTAGGTGAACTTTTGGTGCATATTGAAGATGCTAGTTCTCTCACTGTAGTTCAGTGTGTGCCGCTAGTCTAATGCATCAGCTTTCTCCTGAATATGCGTAGCTGTGCAGTAAATGGAGCCTGAACAATTGAGTGACTCATCTTTCGTATATGCATTGCACATTTCAGAATGGCTGAGGTGTACTTCTACGTGATGGGAGAAAAGAAGCAGTCTTTCCTTCATGGATGCAGTATTTGGTGCATAGCATTTGGGAATTTGTGACACTGTTGACATTGCTTTGGGCTACACTGGCCACAACCTGAGCTTCTGCTGACAGATGTGGACAGCCCCAGTTATACCTAGGAGGGAAAACTCATATATTCCTGTAAACATAGTTTTGTAATGTTTAAAGATGTGGGAATGGCCTTTTTGCTGTGAAGTCAGGGCATCAACCTTTACAGTATGGTTAAGAAAAGAGGGAATTCTTGGGGGATGTGTGCATAGTTGATGATGTTAGGGTTGGGTAGAAGATGAAAGAAGCACCGTCCTAGTACTTTCTAGTAGTTTTCCAAACAGTTATGTGTCACAAAGTCCCCCTTTTTTCTGGGTTCTCAAATTTAACATGGGGGAATATAATATTATGATGGAAGGGCAGTGTCTAAAACCAGAAGAGTTATGAACCCATGGAGAAAAGGATGAGAGCGCAAAGTAGTGGAGTCTATAAGTACTTTTGAAGCATTGTCCACTTTTTTTTTTTTAACTCAAGTTCTGCGGGGTAATCTCTTCTCTTACAAAAATACAGAACATTGACCCTTTTTTGCTACTAATATCTAAGTTTCTTTGTGGTGGAAAAAAATACTGTGCATATATCGTGACTTTGTATTTGAACTGTATACTGTATAATGCAAATGTGTAGAAAAAAGTTAGTTAAATGCAAGCAAGTTGTCAGAAGATAAGTTTAGTCTGACCTTAAGAAATGAGAAAACATATTTAAATAGCTTTTCCCTTTTGGTTTCTTCTTTCTTTGAAATCTCCTTTGCCTTGACTGTTGTCATTCTAGATACTTAAATAAAAGGGAGGGACTGGTAAGATGAGAAACTGTTTGACTCATACAGACAAATGCCATTTGATGATCTGTTTTATTGTATTTTAAAATATTAGAATGATAGTTTTGAGCTGTCTTTGTGTGTCTGATATAATTACTAGTAGATTGCTAGTAGATTAGACAAGGCCAGTAGATTACTAAGACCAGTGATACGAGAAGAATGGGTTGTTTGTTAATGGGAGGAATTTTTGATTTTGCATTACCTAGGATAATGTTGTAGAATCAAC